AAAACTAGTGCACTCTACTCTGCTCTACGGAACTGTACTCTACTCTACTATACTGCTCTACTGAACTGTACTCTACTCTACTATTCTGCTCTACTGCACTGTGCTCTACTTCTCTACTGCTATACTGCTCTAGTTTATTCTACTCCACATGCGGAGATTCCCACCACCGCAACCAGTGATTCACTGCGCTGTATTATCCTACCACTTTACTCTTTACTCTTTACTGAAATATGTAGAGCTTTCTTTAGAAATTATTGTGGACATCTTTTAAATAATCGCCATAATATAAAAAGTACCTCGAAAATTTTAGTTAGAGTATATTTATTGAAAAGTATTTCAATCGTGAAAGCATGCGCTAATACACAACGTGAGTTGATAATCAGGGAGCCGTTGTCAGGAACATCTAAAGTAAATTCTATTGCAAAGGTTCTGACAGTGGCCCACAGGCGTACAAATCGTGCGCGAAAGATCACAGGGGACGTGTGAGAGCACATGTTCAGAAACATGACTTACCAGTGAATTAGAGGAATATTAACTAGATCAAATATACTATTTATATATTCAATTTGTAACGACATTCATTTATAAAAGGCTGATCGATAAATAGTTTTTACCATAAGGCCTAGTGCGTTTTACAACCTTTAGGTTCCATTTACAATTGATATAAATTGGTGGTATTACTCAAAGCTTTTAATTACGCGTTCATGCAGAACCAATATATCCGTTAACAATATTTAAATAATAAAAATTAAAGAAATATATCATGAATGTAAAATCAGTACGAATAGTATCTCCAAATACAGGTCGCATCAGACGTGTACGTATAGCTCCTCTATATGTATAACTGGAGGCCGGTAACCACGGAATCGCTCGCTGCTCAATGTTGCCTCGGAAACGTGTCGATTCTCCGTATGTTTATCCGGTTACGGCGCGGCGCTTGGCACTGGAAAAATATTTTATGTACATGAAATTACTATGAAATTCGACACGAAAGGCGGATGACGGATCAGTTGCGACTGACAATAAAGTCTGTGCAGTTTTATCTACCCCCTCTCTCTCTCTCTCTCTCTCTCTCTCTCTCTCTCTCTCTCTCTCTCTCTCTCTCGCTCTCGCTCTCTCTGCATGTCTATCTATTTATCTGAGCTCCCCTCTCTCTCTCTCTCTGACGCTCGTTCGCCCTCGCTCTCTCGTGATCTCTCTCTATCTCTCTATCTTTATCTCCCTCGCGCTCTCTCTCTCTCTCTCTCTCTCTCTCTCTCTCTCTCTCTCTCTCTTCGTCTCTCTATTCTCTCTCTATCTCTCCCATCCTCTCTCTCTCTCTCTCTCTCTCTATCTCTCTGCATCTCTCTTGCTTTATCTCTATTTCTATCTCTCTTTTTATCTCTATCTCTATCTCTTTCTCTATCTCTATCTTTCTCTATCTCTATCTCTAGCTCTATCTCTATCTCGGCATGTCTACCTATATCTCCCCCTCTCTTGCTTCCTCCTCTCTCTCTCTCTCTCTCTCTCTCTCTCTCTCTCTCGTCTCTCTTTCTCTCTCTCTCTCTCTCTCTCTCTCTCTCTCTCTCTCTCTCTCTCTCTCTCTGTCTCTCTCTCTCTGCATCTCTCTTGCTTTATCTCTATTTCTATCTCCTCCTCTCTCTCTATCCTATCTCTATCTCTCTCTATCTTCTATCTCCTCTTTAATCTCTATCTCTATCTCTATCTCTTATCTCTATCTCACATTGTCTACNGACGTATATATATATATATATATATATATATATATATATACCTGCTGGCCACAGAGGCGTGGCAGGACTCGCTCTCTGTTCACACACAGTTCTCCCTCTATGTAAATCTACTGCAGGCAACGCCAGGTATTCATACTTATCCTCACTGTCCACGCCAGATATTCATACTTACCCTCACTGTCCACACCAGGTATTCATACTTACCCTCACTGTCCACACCAGGTATTCATTCTTACCATCAAGGTATCCACGCCAGGTATTCATATTTACCCTCACTGTCCACACCCGGTATTGATTCTTACCATCAAGGTATCCACGCCAGGTATTCATATTTACCCTCACTGTCCACACCCGGTATTGATTCTTACCCTCACTGTCCACGGCAGGTATTCATTCTTACCATCAAGGTGTCCACACCAGGTATTCATACTTACCCTCACTGTCCACGTACCAGGTATTCATTCTTACCATCAAGGTATCCACGCCAGGTATTCATATTTACCCTCACTGTCCACACCCGGTATTGATTCTTACCCTCACTGTCCACGGCAGGTATTCATTCTTACCATCAAGGTGTCCACGCCAGGTATTCATACTTACCCTCACTGTCCACACCATGTATTCATTCTTACCATCAAGGTGTCCATGCCAGGTATTCATATTTACCCTCACTGTCCACACAAGATATTCATACTTACCCTCACTGTCCACACCAGGTATTCATTCTTACCATCGGGGTGTCCACACCAGGTATTCATTCTTACCATCGGGGTGTCCACGCCAGGTATTCATATTTACCCTCACTGTCCACACCAGGTATTCATACTTACCCTCACTGTCCACACCAGGTATTCATACTTACCCTCACTGTCCATGCCAGGTATTCATTCTTACCATCAAGGTGTCCACGCCAGGTATTCATTATTACCCTCACTGTCCACGCCAGGTATTCATTCTTACCATCAAGGTATCCACGCCAGGTATTCATATTTACCCTCACTGTCCACACCAGGTATTGATTCTTACCCTCACTGTCCACACCAGGTATTCATACTTACCCTCACTGTCCACGCCAGGTATTCATACTTACCCTCACTGTCCACACCCGGTATTGATTCTTACCCTCACTGTCCACGGCAGGTATTCATTCTTACCATCAAGGTATCCACGCCAGGTATTCATATTTACCCTCACTGTCCACACCCGGTATTGATTCTTACCCTCACTGTCCACGGCAGGTATTCACTCTTACCATCAAGGTGTCCACGCCAGGTATTCATTATTACCCTCACTGTCCACACCAGGTATTCATTCTTACCATCAAGGTGTCCACGCCACGTATTCATATTTACCCTCACTGTCCACGCCAGGTATTCATATTTACCCTCACTGTCCACGCCAGGTATTCATACTTACCCTCACTGTCCACGCCAGGTATTCATTCTTACCATCAAGGTGTCCACCGTCCACGCCAAGTATTCATTCCTACTATCAGTGTCCACGCCAGGTATTCATGCTTACCCTCACTGTCCACGCCAGGTATTCGTCCTCACCATCAAGGTGTCCACGCCAGGTATTCATTCCTACTATCAGTGTCCACGCCAGGTATTCATGCTTACCCTCACTGTCCACGCCAGGTATTCATATTTACCCTCACTGTCCACGCAGGTATTCATTCCTACTATCAGTGTCCACGCCAGGTATTCATGCTTACCCTCACTGTCCACGCCAGGTATTCATATTTACCCTCACTGTCCACGCCAGGTATTCGTCCTTACCCTCAAGGTGTCCACGCCAGGTATTCATTCCTACTATCAGTGTCCACGCCAGGTATTCATGCTTACCCTCAAGGTGTCCATGCCAGGTATTCATTCCTACTCTCACTGTCCACGCCAGGTATTAATTCTTACCATCAAGGTGTCCACCGTGACGTCCACACCAGGTATTCATTCCTACTATCAGTGTTCATGCCAGGTATTCATTCCTACCCTCACTGTCCACACCAGGTATTCATTCCTGCTATCAGTGTCCACGCCAGGTATTCATTCGTACTATCAGTGTCCACGCCAGGTATTCATTCCTACCATCAGTGTCCACGCCAGGTATTCATTCCTACCCTCACTGTCCACACCAGGTATTAGTGCAGACCCTCACTGTCTGCAGGTATTCGTTCTTACTCTCACTGTCTACACCATATATTTATACTGACCCTCACTGTCTGCTGCAGGTATTTATGCTGACCATCACTGTCTGCAGGTATTAATGTTGACCCTCACTGTCTGCAGGTATTTATGCTGACCATCACTGTCTGCAGGTATTAATGTTGACCCTCACTGTCTGAAGGTATTTATGCTGACCCTCACTGTCTGCAGGTATTTATGCTGACCCTCACTGCATGCAGGTATTTATGCTGACCCTCACTGTCTGCAGGTATTAATGTTGACCCTCACTGTCTGCAGGTATTTATGCTGACCCTCACTGTCTGCAGGTATTTATGCTGACCCTCACTGTCCACACCATATATTTATACTGACCCTCACTGTCTGCTGCAGGTATTTATGATCGTTCTTACCAACACTGTCTGCAGGTATTTATGCTGACCATCACTGTCTGCAGGTATTAATGTTGACCCTCACTGTCTGAAGGTATTTATGCTGACCCTCACTGTCTGCAGGTATTTATGCTGACCCTCACTGGCTGCAGGTATTTATGTTGACCATCACTAACTGCAGGTATTTATGCTGACCCTCACTGTCTGCAGGTATTTATGCTGACCCTCACTGTCTGCAGGAGTTTATGCTGACCATCACTGTCTGCAGGTATTTATGCTGACCCTCACTGGCTGCAGGTATTTATGCTGACCCTCACTGTCTGCAGGTATTTATGCTGACCCTCACTGTCTGCAGGTATTTATGCTGACCCTCACTGTCTGCAGGTATTTATGCTGACCATCACTGTCTGCAGGTATTAATGCTGACCCTCACTGTCTGCAGGTATTCGTTCTTATACCCTCACTGTCCACACCATACATTTATACTGACCCTCACTGTCTGCTGCAGGTATTTATGCTGACCATCACTGTCTACGGGTATTCGTTCTTACCCTCACTGTCTGCAGGTATTTATGCTGACCCTCACTGTCTGCAGGTATTTATGCTGACCCTCACTGCATGCAGGTATTTATGCTGACCCTCACTGTCTGCAGGTATTTATGCTGACCCTCACTNGGTATTTATGCTGACCCTCGCTGTCTGAAGGTATTTATGCTGACCCTCACTGTCTGCAGGTATTTATGCTGACCATCACTGTCTGCAGGTATTTATGCTGACCATCACTGTCTGAAGGTATTTATGCTGACCCTCACTGTCTGCAGGTATTTATGCTGACCCTCACTGTCTGCAGGTATTAATGTTGACCCTCACTGTCTGCAGGTATTTATGCTGACCATCACTGTCTGCAGGTATTTATGCTGACCATCACTGTCTGCAGGTATTTATGCTGACCATCACTGTCTGCAGGTATTTATGCTGACCCTCACTGTCTGCAGGTATTTATGCTGACCATCACTGTCTGCAGGTATTAATGTTGACCTCACTGTCTGCAGGTATTATGCTGACCCTCACTGTCTGCAGGTATTATAGCTGACCTCACTGTCTGCAGGTATTTATGCTGACCATCACTGTCTGCAGGTATTTATGCTGACCCTCACTGTCTGCAGGTATTTATGCTGACCATCACTGTCTGCAGGTATTAATGTTGACCCTCACTGTCTGCAGGTATTTATGCTGACCATCACTGTCTGCAGGTATTTATGCTGACCNCCTCCTCCTCCGTCGTCCCATTTTCCCTAATCAACTCCTCTCTCTCTCTCCGTCCCCCCTCTCTCTCTATCTCTATCTCTCTATTTCTATTTCTCTATCTCTATCTCTCTATCTCTATCTCTATCTCTATCTCTATCTCTATCTCTCTCTCTATCTCTATCTCTCTATCTCTCTCTCTCTCTATCTCTCTCTATCTCTCTCTATCTCTATCTCTCTCTCTATCTCTATCTCTCTATCTCTATATATATATATATATATATCTCTATCTCTATATCTCTCTATCTCTCTCTATCTCTATGTCTATCTATCTCTATCTCTATCTCTCTTTGCATGTCTACCTATCTCTCCCCCTCTCTCGTTTGCTCGTTTGCTTTCACTTTTCCCTCTCTGTCGCTCTCTCTCTCTCTCTCGCTCTCTCGCTCTCTCGCTCTGTCTCGCCTTCCCCCTCTCTCCCACCCTCTCTGTCTCCATATATCTTTCTCTCTCTCTATTATTTATCTATCTATCTATGTATCTATCTATCTATGTATCTATCTATCTATGTATCTATCTATCTATGGGTATGTATCAGATGTACTCTAATCTATCTATCGTATCTTCATCATTATCTATCTCATCTATCTATCTATCTATCTATCTATCTATCTATCTATCTATCTATCATCTATCTATCTAGCTCTATCTATCTCTGCTTCTGTCTGTCTATCTTTCTATCTATTCTTCTATCTCTCTATCTCTCTATCTCTCTATCTATCTGTCTGGTCTGCTCTGTCTATCTATCTATCTATCATATCTAGTTCTATCTATCATATCTATCTATCTATTCTATCTATCTATTATCTGTCTGTTCTGTCTGCTCTATACATGCTACCTATACTCTGTCGCGTTTTCTGTTGCGCTCTTCTTTTTCTCTCATCTCTCTCTCGCTCTCTCTCTCTCTCTCTCTCTCGTCTCTCTCTCTCTCTCGTCGCTTCTCTCTCCTCTCTCTCTCTCTCTCTCTCTTCTCTCTCTCCTCTCTCGCCTCTCTCTCCTCGGCTCATCTCTCTCTCTCTCTCTCTTCTCTCTCTCTATCTCTCTCTCTCTCTCATTTCTCTCTCTCTCTCTCGCTCTCTCTCTCTCTCTCTCTCTCCCTCTCTACTCTCTCTCTCTCTCTCTCTCTCTCTCTCTCTCTCGCGCCTCTCTCTCTCTCTCTCTCCTCTCTCTCTCTCTCTCTCTCACTGGCTTTTGTGCTAATCTATGGTCTATCTTCTCCCTCACACACACTATCTGTGTCTCTCCGCTCTGCCTTGGCGTGGTGTGTGTGTGCTGTGTGTGTGTGTGTGTGTGTGCGCGGTGCGGTCTCTGTGTGTGTGTGTGACAGCTCTGCTGAGTGTGCGTGCTAGTGCTTGCGTGTGCCGGCTGTGTGCGTGCGTGCTTGCGGTGCGTGGTGCGCCTCTCTCTCTCCCTCTCTCTCTCTCTATCATTCTCTCTCGCCTCCATCTCGCTATATCGCTCTCTCGCTCGTTCGTCTCTTCTCTCTCTCTCTCTTGTGCGCTCTTCTCTCTCTCTCTCTCTCTCTCTCTCCTCTCTCTCTCTCGCTTTGCTACTCTTTCTCTCTTCTCCACACACACTAATCTGTGTTCTCGCCTTCTCCCTTGCTCTCTCTTTTCTCTCACCCTCCCTCATCTCTTCTCGCTCCACTGTCTCTGTCTCTCGCTCGCTCTCTGTCTCTCGCCCTGCGCTCTTCTCTCTCTCTCTCTCTCTCTCTCTCTCTCTCTCTACTCTCTCTCTCTCTTCTCTCTCCTCGTGCATCGCTCTCTCCCTCTATATCTCTCGCTTCTTACCTCGCGCCGCTGCCTCTGCCGTCCCTCTCTCTGCATGTCTATCAATCTGATCCCCTCTCTCGCTCTCCCTTTTCTTTCCCTGTCTTCTTCCTTCTTTCCCTATCGCTCTCCGTGAATCTCTCTCCCTATCTTTATCGTAACCTCTCTCTCTTCTCTCTCTCTCTCTCTGCTCTGTCTCTCTTTCTTCTCTCTCTCTCTCTCTCTCTCTCTTCTCTCTCTCTCTCTCTCTCTCTCTCTCTCTCTCTCCATGTCTATCTATCTCTCCCTTCACTCGCCCGCTCGCTCCGCTTGCCCTCGCACACGCTGTCTCTCTTTCTTTCCTCTCTCCCCTCTCTCACTTTCTCTAATATGATCACCTCTATTACAAGTAGCGTCAAGATACTCTACCAAGGCACAGTCCGAGTTACAAACACAAATTGGTTCTAAAATTTCGGCTTGTAAGTAGACTTCGCCGAATATTCCTAGTCCAAATTAATTAGAGCTTCCTTTCATTCTCACTATAAACCCTATAATAACCCATATAGCTTCTCCCAATAGTCAGCGTACGATAAATATATATACCATAGTAGGCCCTATACATACACTATACAACACAATCTAGTACCTGCAACATATCGGTAATGCTAGAAAACACCGGCAGATTCATAACGTAGATTCATAACATATGTGTGCCATAGTATAATAAATAATACCTACGTTAAAAATGCTCAACTGGCGAGCGGTGCACGACGTTGCCTCGAAAACATGTTGATTCTCCGTGTCCTTCAGCGACGTGATTGGTACTAGAAATTTGGCGTGCAAGAATTTAATATCTGGTTTATATGAACTTGGAAAACGAAAAGTGGAAAACAAATTAGGGGTGATTGACTCGCGTATATATATATAAACTATCTGGCAATGTTGCCCAGGCTGACAGGTTAAAGAGTCAGTATGATAAATACTGTTTTTGTATAATGTACAATAATTATGTATATAATAAATGTTATACATATATATATATATCATATAATAACACCTACGTATATCTCTGTGCACCTCTTGCTATGTCCAACTGGAGACCGGTAACCACTCAATCGTTGCACGACGCTGCCTCGAAAACATGATAATTCTCCGTGTCCTCCAGTCTGACGATTGACACTAGAAATAACTTGTGCTGCCTATATATCAATTCATTTGGTTTATTGTGGGCTTAAACAAGGAAAGCGGAGAATGAATTAAGAGAGACTGGCTGACATATAGACTTTACTGTTAATTATACCCTATCGCTAAGTATTTAGTACTATAACCACGCATCTTTAGGCAACTATAACGCACGAAAAGGGTACTTACAATTTAACTCACGTTAGCTGTAATTATGATGCGCATTCGAAGTTGTCACAGTTCGAATCTTTGCAGACCAAAACACAAAGAGAACATGGAGGAACGCTTCGGGCCACGCGTATACTGACCGTAATTTATCTCGCGAAAGAGAAGCCCGTCACGGCGTGACGAAAGTCAAGTGATTCATTTATATATGCGCGCTTATATGTTGAACATACTGCCAGGCTACGAGATAATAAATGCTCGTTTTGTCTGATACACAATAACATACAATTCAATAAAGAATTAGGTTAGATTTAAATTTTGAAACCCAAACTTGTTCGCGTCCGTGCTTCTCTCGCGCGCGCTCTCTCTCTCCCTCTCTGCCTTCCTCTCTCTCTCCCTCTCTGCCTTACTCTCTCTCCTCTCTTCCTTCCTTTCTCCCCTCTGCCTTTCTCTCGCTCCCCTCTACCTTCCTCTCGCTCTCCTCTCTGCCGCCCCTCTCTCTTCTCTGCCTTGCTCTTTTTCTTCTCTGTCTTCCTTTCTATTCTCTGCCCTACTTTTCCTTCTCTCTACCTTCCTCTCTCCTATCTGCCTTCCTCTGCCTTTCTCTCCCCGCTCTGCCTTTCTCTCTCGCTTCCTGCTCTCTCTCTCTCTCTCTCTC